CCGAAAAGTGCTGAAATAGCAAAATTTCGGGCACGGTGCCGCTTATTTGGCGGGCCGAGACTACCTCAAGAGATGGTCTCGGCCCGCCAAAAATTTTAGGTACGCGTACCGCAATCGGACAGGCCCGGTGCCGTTTACACGACAAAAATCAAGAGTGCCGTGCCCAAAGAAATGGGTCCGCGTGCCAAAATTTAAGCGTGCCGTGCCCAAAATGACTGTCGTGTAAACGGGGCTTCAATTTCCATGTAATCTATGATCGCTAATCATAAAATGAATTCGCTTGAGTTAAATTTGTCGTTTGAAACGAATTGAATTAAACCATTTTAAACTCAACGAATCGATCGCGAATATGATAGCGACTTTTAAATTCATCTGAATTAATCGCCCGCCCCGAGTCCAGGAACATGGATCCAGTTCATACTCCATAGTTTGTCTATTGTGACTCGTTAATGAAAAGCAAACTGCAATCAGTTTAGAACCAAAATTGTCGCAAATTGTCGTGCTGCTTGGGTCAAGTTCACATAGTTTATACAAAACTGCATCAGATGGCGTTCGCTAATTTTAGGAAACGCGAAGATGAACCGCAAGAGTTCTACGTCCATTTGAACTCAGTCTGCGAGCTCAAGGCCACACAAGAAACAGAAATATTGAAGCATTTTGTATCCGACATGTTGCATCGGTCTTCGCCGAATTCACAACGGCGTGCACATACGTTGATGAAACTCGCGCCCAGAATCGAAACGGAGAATAAAAAGTACATCAAGGAACGAATGTATAGAAAGCTTGCGACCGAAGCACAAAACGCAGTTTTTGGCAAGCCGTATGCGCCTGACAACGCCACGGACCAGTAAATATGTCATTGAAATATATTAGAGTGCAGCGATAGGCATCCTGGCTAAAGCCAGCAGTGTGGCAGTCTGAACTGCAGTTGACAGTGTTCGCGTTTGATATAACCTGACAGTATCAGGCTTTATCTAACGACAGAACGTTTGAAACATCGCGTATTTGAAGGACTGCAATACTATTTGTGTGTGATTGTACAGAAATATTTATGTTCACACAAAAAGATTAAAACTGTCAAGATGAATTTGCGACTGTAGTCAAACAGTTGAAATATTAGTTCAAGCCCTCTGGCTCTGCAAGGAATTCGGCAGCGAATTCATGGTTTGGAGGCGTAAACCGGGACGCTATGCCTATGTCGCTATGAACAAACGTTAACCAAACGGAAACGATCGGATTTCCGTTCGATTTCGTAGTCTCATGTGGAAGATTTATCATAAACAGTTTAATTTATCACAAACAAGAGTCGGTAGATGGCTAACAAGACAGTGTTTTATCTCTAGACGTTTTTACGAATTGTGTTTTGATGTCGTTGGTCTGTACCGACAGTAATTGTAATATAGTGTGTCTAATTTATATTTAAGAATCTTGTACAATCTCGTACAATACATAATGCATAAGCGTATTAGAATTATTAAATTTCGCTCGACAAATAAAAGACATAAAGCTATACGTAAAGGGCCGTTAATCATTATTCCATACGAGATTCCGCGCATTCTTTTTTCGGTGAAATACAGCGAAATGTAATTGTGTATATAAATTTGATGCATGCGAGGATGGCTGGTTGTGTTGAGCGAATGGAAATGTTATTTCTTCATTATTTGCAGTTAGCATTTAGTCAGCGCGGACCAAATGTTCGTTCTAGTATACCGGATTTTGCGGAAGCGAAAAAAATCAGACCCCCATGGCGCTATGTCATGACACAGGATGTAAATGCTGGCTTGTATACACTATTAAAGTTCCACTGTGATCATACACATAGTAGAAATTTTTCGAAGGATTTGTAAGAAATGTTTGGGGGAACGGTCCCAGTGTTAAACAATCGAGTCAGTTCCCTCAAAGAGTTCTTACAAATCCTTCAAAACGTAGAATTTTGCCTGTGGCTGTGCAAAATGCCTACTGTGATTACAGAAACAATGTCAATGACAGTGTAAATATATAGACACAATATAAAAAGTTATGTCGGCCATGCACGAGCCCGATCAATTTCGAATGCAAACAAAATTTTTTTTTTCTTTTGGCGTCGGTGGTATACCACCGGATATTGTTGTGATTTTTTCAACCGCTGTACTTTGCCTGAAAAGTGTGATAAAAGTACGTATTATGGATGCCATATGCACAACTGAATAAAAAGGCAACTTTATTTTTTATGAACTGAAGTTTAATCCGGTAAATCAATGACCAATTTAAGAAAACTTGAAAAATTCACTATCTGGACAATCACGGACATTGTCCGACCTATTCGTGAAATCCTCCGACGCATATACGTAGAGAGGAAACCACTGGACATTCTGTCCGACCTAAAGCCTGATTCTCATCCATAAGTCGCCGACGTCGGCGATGCCATTGTTTGAGATCAGTGAAGAAGAACATAAACAAAAGATTTTACTCATCAATGATCAACGACAATGGGCATCGCCGACGTCGGTGACATATGAGAATCAGGCTTAAGTGAACTTAGATTCATTGTTTGTCCGACCCGAGTGAATTTTGGTGTCCCGCCTAACTGTAACTTTGTCCAACGACAATGTAATTCATAATATACCCTAGTCCAGGACTAGACGGCTCGTATGTTAAATGAGAATCAGAGTAATGTATAAAACATGAACTGGAAATGTGTAATCAAGTGCGGGGTTTTCACCGTGGGATTTGGAAATTCATTGCCAAGATTTAAAGGACTTTTGAATCTTGAACAAACTTTTGAATTTCGATCCAACTGAACTTGAAGTCATCGGACATCCGTCGGACATCATATATACATAAGTCCAAATCAAAGTCATCGAACATTTTGTCAGACGGTTCTCTTACCGATATTCTAAAACCTGAACATTGATCGTGGATTGCTTTTTCGAAACGCGTTAAAAGCTAAATCATTCAATCATTTATTAATTATTTTTCACTATAATACAATAACTATACACCTAATCCGCAAAAAGCAAATATTGTAAAAAATAATCAGTATGAATTGGCTAAGTCAATAATCGAGGGCAGCATTTTTCACGAAATCCAGTCCTTAGCCTTAGGGGTTCTTGTAATGTCTGAGTGTGTGTGAAAAAGGTGAAAATATTCCGATGTTTTTATTGACGTCCATAATTGTTATGGGGTTAATAGCGTGTTTAAGATCTAGATTAACTACACCGACTACGACGAGTCAAATATTTGTGTCTATAGAGTATATATATTATGTATTTTATATAAACATAACTATATGCAAATAGTGTGAAATGCATGCATGCGAGTATCACAAAAACTTAAGCCAAATGCTTTTACGCGCATCAACACTTGGCTTTGTGCTCCGCTTTCTGTTTCGTCTTGATTGATCGAATGCTTTATCTAACCACGGTCCAACTAATCGGGATTTACATGCATACACTGCATATACAGAGATTAAAAAATCACAGTTCAAAAGATTACACTAAGGAGCTGCATGCTCTTATATGGAGCCAGTTTACCGGGATCGTTCGTTTAATGAAGCTTTTTTTTCGCAGCTTTGATGAACATTCAAAATGATATTCCAAAGTTGAATTAGCTTAGCTTGATTTCACAGTAACAGGATAAATTTCATGCAAACGATCTTTTAATTATGGTAATAAGGAAAAATTTTCGTGACACGTTTCGTCCCGGCTCGCCGGGCTGACCCGGCTCATACGAACAGCCACATAATGTTATATAGAGTTACAAATATGCATATTAATCAAAAACACCTGCCCTCCCTTGAATGCAGTGTGGTAATAACAAGTTGAAATAATAGCTACTGCAACCTGCAATTCTACTGTTCACCCATGCAGGGTGCATGTGTGCCATCCGCAACTCCAACTCGATTTATTGGAAGGCTGTTCGATCCATATAGATTATATAGGCATAGCGTCGCTCCACTGACACTGTATGTCCAAAGCTATTTTTTAGGCATACTTGGTACGGGGCCCAGGAACAGCTAGCTTGCCCACAGTGTCCCACAATGACTACAAAATCATATGGGCCAGAAATAGTCTGGAGCTAGCCAATATTTTCAGTTCTTTATAAAAAATCGTGCATACGTGAGACAATTTATATTCGTGAACAATGAAGAAATTTTTGTGATTTTAAGAATATTCATTTCTTTGTTGTTGAGAGATATCTAGATTTTTTGCATTTTTTTCATATCAACTTTATTTTTTAACTGACCTAATTTATGGTCAACCATTGTTTGTACGGGATCCCCAAGAACCGTCGTTACATGCGACGGTGAAAACACACAAAAAAAGCAACCGGTTCGACCAGAGTCTATAGTGATCGATTGATCTGGAAACTAAACCGGAAGTCAATGTATTATGTTTTGTCTGAATTTATGTTAATTTGGAGTTTGACTAATGGTCGCGGGTCGCGTGTCGCGGGTAAGAAGTCGCGGGTCGCGGGTAAGAAGTCGCGTGTCGCGGGTAAAAAGTCGCGGGTCGCGGGTAAAAAGTCGCGGGTCGCGGGTAAAAAGTCGCGGGTCGCGGGTAAAAAGTCGCGGGTCGCGGGTAAAAGGTCGCGGGTCGTAAAAAAGCTACAAACCGTGTATTTTATTGAGTTGCGGGTTGAATAAAGTGTGTAAAAATCACATTATCATTTAGTTATTTAATGGTTTTTATCAATAGTATTATAATACTCCAATACCAACAATATGGCATCCTATGGTATTACGTTATATTTATAATGTCTGCAAACGAAGAATGCGTTTTTTCATTTCTGCCTTTTTAATTCGGAATAATTTGCATTTACAATTATAATATTTGCAATTGCGTTGTGTAATACGTTCAGTATAGGAGTCAAGTTTAAATGTTTATCCTGTTGTCATACCACAGAACGGCTGGTGTTATGTTACGTACTTTCTGAATTAAAACCACCCTTTAGTTTATAGTACTTCGAAGGCTGGAGGGCAGAATATTCGCTGGTTCACAACTACTCGTGAACAACGCATTATAACGTCTGTTAACGCATTATAACGCATTATAACGTCATTACAACGCATTATAACGTCTGTTAAGAAATAATGCCTCGTGAAATGAGAGGCATTTCACAAGATTTTGAAGCGAATACGTTGACGCTCTGCGCTGTTTAAACTTTAAATCTGTGACTTTATACTTTAAGATTATGACCTACAATCACGCAAAGAATCTACACTACATTATTTATAGTTCAAAAAATGAAGATAAACCAAACATTAATTTGCCAAGTTAAAACTGTACTCGGTGCGTCAAAAGTGCTTTACAACTTCCGTAGGAGAAACAAAGCTTCGTGAGGGAAAAGATAATGTATTATCTAAAAAAACCTAAAAAGGCTCCCCATGCATTCTTATACTCGTGCAGCGGCCAAATGCCTGGCACGAGTAACAAGTAATAAAACTCTATATTCAATATTTTAAATAGAAAAGAAGTGTATTAATTTAATGTGTTCCAATCAGCATTTTTTTCGTGTTCCCTTTGGCAATAATTAAAGGGTGTCCGGGATAACGCCAGTCGGCTGTGCTCATCTGGGCTCGACTTAAATATCCAGGTTGTTGGTTAATCATACTGTACTTTTATAATGTAGGGCATGGATATATCTATTATTTGTGATACTATATGGTTGTTTTTAAATTGGTATAAAACTAATTGTAATAGTAGTGGTAAACTGAATTTATTTGTGCCAAAGTCTTGTTTGTTTCTTTCAGAACACATTTTTTGATTACAGGATTTTTGTCATTATATAATTTATTCTTTCAGGTTTTAGGCTTCTGGCACGTTTATATAAAACCATTAAATCATGACAAAAGGCTCTTTGGCAATGTTTTGTAATGAAGCAATCCGATATAGTTGTTTACTAAATGATAACGTGATTTTTAAACACTTTATTCAACCCGCGACTCAATAAAATACACGGTTTGGAGCTTTTTTACGACCCGCGACTTTTTACCCGCGACCCGCGACTTTTTACCCGCGACCCGCGACTTTTTACCCGCGACCCGCGACTTTTTACCCGCGACCCGCGACTTCTTACCCGCGACTTCTTACCCGCGACCCGCGACATCTTACCCGCGACCCGCGACATCTTACCCGCGACACGCGACCATTAGTCAAACTCGTTAATTTGTGCACGGTCACGGTGATATTGAGCGCATTTTATTTTCGTATAACGAAGTAATCGCGTCCAATAGGGACAGCGGAGACAAAGGATAAACAATTAAGCTCTTTTAATTTTGTGGCTTTGACGTTTGCCGGCCTTCCATGTATCTCGACGCTTCTCAATTGCTATCCCTTGTTTAATGTTGTTTTAAGTCATGATATTTGCGCGTGCCACCTGACGAGTAACATATGGACAAGTGTCACGACAATCGTTGTCTGGGGCAGGGGTGAGGTGGAAGGGGGTAGGGTCTTGTTAAAATGGGGGGGGGGAGAGTGAGCGGACCCCACCCCCCTAAAGCCCGTTTTCCACTCGCGTATTTCGCCGCCGAAAATATTCATTCGGTTGTTCTTTCGCGCCGTCAACGAAAGGTCAAACAGAAGTTGAAAATTTTAAGCAACTGTAGCAGGAGAACAAATTTCTTCAGCGGCGAATGAATGTAAACTGAAAATGATTTCTTTGTCAAAATTTTTCGCCAGCGGCGCGAAATATGTGAGTGGAAAACGGGCTTAAGATTTTTATCGAGACAGATATAACATTTGATAATATAACAAATTTTTTGCCAATATTTAATAGATTTGGCATAATTGCACAATTCTAATCTATTTTCAATTTTAGACCAATAATACAAAATTTCTTATATTCAGGATGGCATTTGATGAGCCCTGCATGTAGTGATTGTATTTTCCTATCATGAGAGCATGATAAAACTATACATTTTATAACATCACTTAAAAGGTCTTAAAATGCTGGAAATCGTGCTTCCGAGAGGGGCAGTAGGCCGGTCGGTTTATGTCTTGAAATGAGTTGAGGAACCACCAGAATTCGGGACGACTTCCCTGTAGTCTGGAAATCGGCAATAAAACTATGTATGGCTAGCTAGGCGAATTTGCATGGCTTAATATAAATTGCAGCCCAATTCAACACGTAAAATGGCTTCATATTCATTTTGGAAAGTAGAGGTAGTGTAATACATTACGCAGAATTATAGAACCATAATGTGCTTGACACTTTTGGCAATCTTATATATTTAGGGACGGACCATATTAGAAAAGTGATTGGGAGGGGGGGGGGGATTTTCACTCCTGAAGAGGCAATATATATATTTTTTGCACACCTATTTTTTTCTCACTTGATGGCTGGAAATATTATTTTTAAATTAAGTGAAATTTATAGGCTTATCTTTCAAGCTAGGAATTTTCTGGGAAGATTTTTTTCCGCCTAATTTGTTTCTGGGAATAAATCTTTTTTTTTGGTTTTGCCCTACCCCACCCCTCTCCCATCACTTTTTTAATGGTCCATCCCTTACCAATTTGGTACGTTCGGGGCAAAGTGTAAACTATTTCCGAGGTGGGCCGGAAACTAGTGGTACTATATTACAGTCGCGTACAGATTTTTTGAAATAGTCAAAAAAATTCAATTCAGTAACCGGACGCATTTTATGCAGGAAACATATGCGTGGGATTGACCGGAGTTTAGGTTTTTGTCGAGGGTCGAGTGTCCAGTGTCGAGGGTGAGGGTAAAAAGTCGAGGGTGAGGGTAAAAAGTCGAGGGTGAGGGTAAAAAGTCGAGGGTCGTAAAAAAAGTCGAGGGTTGTATTTTTACGACAACTAAGACAACTACTAACGATAAAAGAGTTTTTAAAACGGTGTTTCTCCTTATGTAAATCATGAATTAAGGGAGAATTCTGGTCTAGAAACTAACTCATTAATTAAGTTGATGATTTGGGTCGTCTGGTTAAAAAGTTTCACGCACGCAGCATGTCTTCTAGCGTGTAATGTCTCCAGGCCACTTTTGATTAAGGCATTTTTAGATAAAAAGGCGGAATTTTTTCATTAAAAGCAAAGTCAAAGAGCATTTATTATCAATATTAACTTAAAAGTCTTAAAAGAGTTTCTAAACGTAGTATAATTTCATAAACAGGCCAATGGCAATGTTCAACCTCGCATCAAGCAAAGGTCTCCGTCCCGCCGCAGGTGTGCTTGCGAGGTTGGTCAATGACAATGTAATATTGACTGAATCATTTAGCGTTAATTGGTTTCTTGAAACAGTGGCATGTCTGCACCGCGCTCCGATCTAGCAGAAAACCACACAAGTTTTTTTATCATAACTTGTTATTGGTAATATATTTTGCCTTAATGTATTGCCATTACTGGCTTGATGATTACAGCTGCTCGATAATCTATGCTGTTACGTTTAATTTGATAAGAAAGCAAAGAGACCGTTCTCATATTAGACATAAACATGTTAACTTGCGAGCGTGAAGGGGCTTAGAAAATAATCGCTTAGAAAATTTACGCAAGGTAGTATCTTTTAAAAGTTAATGTAGTTCTGCATACATATATATGATAAGTCCATGTCACAACATTAAACAAGTTATTTTGCCTGCAAATTTCGACCCTCGACTTTTTTTATGACCCTCGACTTTTTACCCTCACCCTCGACTTTTTACCCTCACCCTCGATATTGGACCCTCGACACTCGACAAAAACCTAAACTCGATTGACCGACGTCCTGTCCTGTTTCTGACACGATGATATTGGCAAAAATTTAGCACGTGTCTCGTCATCAATAGTGTCAATAATGTCGCTTCAATCATGCTCTTTTCATGGAAAAATTCTGACCAGTACAAATTTAAAGCATTCGTGTGCATTATGCCGTTCATTTCTTGTAATGTAAATGATATATCTTGCCATATTTGAAATGTTTAGGATTGCTTTGTGATTAAGTAGAGTTGTTAGGTGTTAAATGATTATTTAAAATCATCAAACTTTGTATTTCTCCCATATTGGAATTTTGTTACTATGAATTTTGCATGATAAAAAAAAATTAATGATGTCTCAATGGCTTCGTGATATTTTGACTTTAATACAAGTCATATTTACTTGATTGATAAATCAGCTAAGCCAAAGTCTAAAAACTCCACGATTATCAATCGTGCGTGACTGCACGTGCGGTAATTAATTAAGAGGTCAAATTGATAGGATGATAATTTTGTTTTGAATTGATGACAAATTAATCTCAACAAGTTATCTTAAACTTATCAATATTGATTATTGTTTGAACATTTAATATGACTATGCATAATGGGTTATGCCAAAATGACACAAAACGTCTGAAGAGACAATAGATTCAAAATTTCAAATACCGTCAATGCTTTTTATCATACTGAAAAACTAATGAAAAAAATCGGAAGATAAATCTTTAAGCCACGTGCAAAGTTTATCCGTTGAAACTCTTAGCTCGAATACAACCGCAGGTGTTTATGTCATAAAATACGTCCGGTTAGTAAATTGATTTTGTTTGACGATTTAAAAAAAAAATTGCGTAAAACCGCGGTCAAAGTCCGGGTATTTTGACAGCTTGTTGAGCTTGTATTCGAATGACGGGAAATAGTTTTGTCTTCACGAAGTTCTAGCAAAACGTTCCAAGAAAATTACGATAGCGTGACACAAGGAAAAAGCGATGTGCGCAGTCCCAGACTCCCAAAGGAATTGTCTGGGACTGCGCGCAGGCTACTACATTGTAGTTTCAACCGTTTCCTTATAATAAATGCTTTTTTCCTATACACTCCTATTTTTTGGCAGATCTTCTGTCCACCATCTCCGTAGCCTATATTCGCGCATGTGCTTTACGTTTGAACTTTGAACGCGGTGTTCATTTTCGTGATTTGTCCCGCTTAATCCAATTTCAGTCCACATCAGACCAAACATCATCGAACGTTACATATTGGCAATATAAGGTGGTGAAACATGTTATTTGTGACATAATGGTGAAATTGATGGGTTTGTATGGCCGGAGAGTAATTCTAATTGCACAGTCTTAACTTTCCAAAAAGGAAGATGAAGCCATTTTACGTGTTGAATTGAGTTGCAATTTATATTCAAGATTTTGGGCAAGATGCTCGCGGTAGAATGTTGAACGGTTTTTGTAGATTGAAATTTCGAGCGAAGATTTCTGAAAATGTATAAAATTCTCGTTCAAATTTCCATCTACAAAAAAACGCTAGCATTGCAAAAAATCTCAAAAAATTGACTCACAAAAAAGTCACTCACAGTGACTCAAATTTATCGGCAAACTTACTCAAATTTTTTTGAGGAAAGTCAGTCAAATTTACCCCATTACCAGAAATGTGATCAAGACACCTTCTTGGGAATCGTAATTGGCTCGCAATTTCATAGGATTTACTTATATGGTGGATTGATTGCATACCAGTTAAAAACGAGGAACTAATAGGACGTATATCGTATTGTCTATCGTATCGTACCCATTCCACCATTGATTCAACCTCGTACCTAGGCTCTTTCTTCTACGCTCCTCAAGCGAGAATGACAGTCAAAACTCGGCAAACAGAGGTTTAACTGATTGCTAAATCTGAAGTGTTCGACTTTCGAAACTTAGTTTAATTAATAGTTGATCTTCCAAAATTATCGGTTAATTATTCTTTATAAAATACTTGCAAAACCCTTCAAACTTTGAGGCCGACTGTGCATGGGTTTTTCAAAAAGGTTGAGTCAAAATTTTTTGCAGCACTGCAATTTATGTATTTTCCATACCGCTTTTTGACACAATTTATTGAGTAGTATATAATTAACGTTAAACCCTAAACTCCGAACACAGTGTATATAAATTATGTGCACATTTTAAACCATATTAATTTTATTAAAGTAAATAGAGAATGTATATACAATATCCATACAACAAGAAGTTCCTTGGCAAAAACTTACGGTTTACCATGTTCGAACTGCGCATACTCGTTAACCAGATCACAGAACGTGATGTAGTTGAAATCATGTTTTCCACCGATGAGGACATCGAATTTCTTGTACAGTACAGTGAACTCACGACTGCTAACCAAACTGCCAATGTCTAGTTCGCTGAGGACACGATGGAACTGAGTGCGCGAGACTGTCCCGTTGTGTATGCGGTCGTAATCCTCAAACAACGGGAACATTTGGATACGACGTTGGCGCACGCGGTCAGCAAGACGGTGCATGACTTTCTCAAGCATCTCATTAGCATCTTGTGCGAGTCTGTTCAGATCCGATCCCAGCTCAGGACGATATTGAACGGGCTCCACCAACGGGTTCTTCTCAAGATCTAAAATGATAAATTCACGATTATGAAGTGAACAAGTGGGGGAGTGCTAATCAGCCTTACTTGCAGCTAAAAGCTACAATCATTTTCAAATGTGTTGCGTCAGATGCAGGCCTTTAGCCAGAAGGGCGTCCAGGTGTCCTGGAACGCCCCTAGAACGAAAAATGGACGCCTCTGGACGCCCCAACTATACATTTGACATTTTGATCAATTTGATGGCGTGCCTGGCTGAATGAAGATGTTATAGTTAAGTAAAGAAGCATAGCGGCACAAACTCACAAAGCCAAGTGTGTTTGAAAAATTGCGAACGAACTTGGAACAGATACTGATATGAAGTAACATAAACTTCAAAGGTTTTCCAGAGGAACATTTTCTCGACCCCCCCCCCCTTTACTGTAAATGTATCGTTATACCAAAATTGGACGTCCTCTCTTACGGGACCCTGGCTAAAAACCTGGTCAGATGTTCCTCTAATTTTGAAAAGCGTCGACACCCTGTTCAATGTTGGGTCAGCAGTTAGCATCTTACTTGGGTGTGCTATAGTGTCTGGATTGGGTAAACAACATTGAATGGGGGGGGGGGGAAATATTCGTAATCAAATTTGCATATATCCACTGATGATCTAAAACCACAAGTGTCCCAACATCTTTTGAAATTGATTGTGAGCTGAATACACCCTTTCGATAATTACGTCACATATATTTTTTTCTGTGTAGTGTTATATACAAGGTGAATATGATGTTTGTGATGTTACTCTGAGTGTATATCCACACCGGACAAGCTTGAAAAATATGCCATAATTTCTTCAACGAATATTGAGAAAAATATAATTATACGGATGAGTTTCAACCCTCAATTGAAGATTGAGTTTTTACTACTCTACACCGGAGTAGAAGAACATGCTAGTACATATTAGTCCTTGCTTGCGTGTGGCATACTTAACAACTCAGACAGAAAAGTGAGTTAATGATGACACGAAATGATAATATACCCTTAAAGATATATGCAGCAACCGGTAACTCCAAATAAAGAAAAAAACGCTTTCTTTAGTAGAAGCTGCCGTTGTTATGCATTCTATGAAAATACTCGGTGGTTTCCGGTAAAAGTCTGCAAAAAAATACCCTGGTTCCCGGTTTTCCCATTCTACCGTTGGCCACTGAAATCATAGCCTGCTCGAAGCCCGAAATTAAATCCCTAAATTTCGCAACAAATTCGGGCTGCGAGCAGGCTACTGAAATCATCGACCATCGAACACTCAGGTGTTTGCAACAAGAAATATGAAACCCAAGTACTTTTTTCCTAATTAATACACCTATCGTATACAACTCGATGAAATGAATATAACCGGAAGTTGGAAAGCTACCTCCAACTGGAAATTTGAAAGCAAACTTGAAGGCCAGTCCCTGTCTTTTCACGCAAGCGAAGAGCGCGGTCAATCCGTGACATGAACATGTATTCTTGAAAACCGGCTTAAAATTTACAAAAAAAGCTTTAATTTAAGAATCGCGACGCATAAACACGCAGGCCTTGACCTCCAGACACAGAGATTTGGCTCAGTTCAAGAAAAAGATAGGCAGTTTATCTGAAGGTAGCATTCGAGTTATATTCACTTCACTGGTACAACTACATCAGAGTTAAGATCTATCCAACATTGAATGCAAAAGTTGCAATGAAAAATGTTCGGAAATTCAAAACCTAATAACGTTCCTCTCAAAATTACTTTGTTTTTTTGTTGTTTTATTTTGATGGCAAACTAGGCCAAAACCAATCACCAGTGGGTTATTTTGACCAAACGTTTTCCGGTTATGAACTTATGACATAGCCATAAGGTCTAAGTAGCCCGCTGGTGATTGGTTTTGGCTCAGTTTGAAAACATTAAAAATACGCAAAAGCGGCCTCGGTTTACCCGTTCGAGATATAAAATAATAAAGTAAGGCGCATTCAATTTTAGACCTAACTGGCTAACCAGGAGCGGCTGCAAAAAAATACAACTTTTGGCTTTCTGGCAGAAATCGAACCCCGGCCACAGAATAGGAAGTTATACCAGAAGCGTAACTCGAGCAAATATTTGTCCGCGTTTTTACAAGCGATTCGTCATCAATCACGCCATCTGGCTAGTACAACCGGCACTTTGTACCTACCAAATCGTGATAAAAACTTCCGGCTGTACTAGCCAGGATGGCGTGGCCTGACGTGAGCGAGTTAAAATTTTCGTGGACGTCAAACAATAAGGGAAACGACTAGAGTTACGCTTCTGGTATAACTTCCTATTCTGTGCCCCGGCCCTGCGATTTTGGTGCAGCGCTCTAACGAACGGATTATTCTGGACCAGCTAGAGACGAAATTTTGATCTATAGACAAGAAAAACGAAGTCCATTACCATAGCTGGAAAGAGCATCTTAAAATGAGTAAAAGTGCGGCAAAGTTTGCATGGTTGCGAGTTGTTGTAAAATGAGGAAATAACCATTTTTGAGCCGAAAATGGTTATTTTTACCGCGCGTAATACAAATATATACAAAATTTGCGAACTTCACAGGGCTATATTTTCTTCATTTTACAACATTTAGCAACCAATCTTTGCATTTTTACTCATTCTAAGACGCTCTTTCTAGCTGCGGTATTGGATTTCGTTCTTTTTGCCTTGATCAAAATTTAGTCTTTTGCTGGAATCAGAGAATCACCCAATGTGCCGCTAAGAGTCCTGAGTTAGTCCTGAGCTACACGAGTCCTTTTTGATCGCGTGTGACCTAATGGTGCTAGGTACTTACACAAAAAACTCCTCTAAGCATGTAAGCCGCCTTCTCGACGTTCTAGCCAAATTTGGTCAGGACTTATATCACGCCTTGAGTACGTCAGAATAATTCTCGTGTGAATAAATTGTGGTCTGAGCCCATGTGAGCAGTGCGCGTGAAACGACATGACATGTAGTGATAATATGACAGGCTAGACATAAGATCGACCATGATATGTTATCAGAGAAGTGGCAAAAATTCAAACAAATGCAAAAAAAAACTATCTAACATGCAAATTGTCTGAGGCCGCGTTTACACGACGACGGCACGGCAAATTTACCGTAGCGTAGTGATTTGTATCCGGAGTGCCAAACGTAGTGGTCCGCAGTTAATACGCTACGGCAAACCACTCCGTTATACAGGGTGTATCAAAAAAAGCGCAATCCTCGACTGAAATGTAAATTGCTAAACAAATAATAGACGAAAACGTTAAAGTTTACATTCATTTTAAAGCGTAGCCATTCAGCTTTCTAACAGTGGGTTGTTTCTTAAATTTGACTCATTGGTTCGCGGCTAATAATACTTTACGTTATTGCGATTGGAGATTAAAAAAATTGAGATGGAATAACAAATCGTTCTCATGAAAATAACTTATTTTTTCATTAAAACAAAAAATGTTGCCTTTTATTAAATGGATTGTAACAATAAGTATAATTACGGTTTTTCTTCCACTATTTTTAACTCAGTTTTAAACTTCAAATGCGATATAATTTTGGCTTGGACCATCTAAGCTGACTGACATCAACTTGCTATAATTTCTGTTTACATTACATCGCAATTCGATGACACTCTGGCTCAGACACCAGAATGTTTTGACGATTTTTAGCATTCGTTTAGGATTTTCAAACAACCTGGTCTCTTTTAAAATACTTTTAATTTGTTCTTACGTGGTTTTCCAGATGTAGTGACGACAACATTAAAGTTTAAAGAAGAAAATTCTAACATTTAAACCGACTAAACAATAACATAGTAAACTTGCATAAATAAACAGCAACTAAAAATGATAGGTTTTACTAAATCTTTTCCTGTGCAATTATTACTAGCATTGGAAACAAGGATAATAGTTTTTTTGAAAGAGAAAAGAACAGGCTTTGAAGTAAGCCTAAAAGCGTTTAACTAGAAATAGTATTTCGAAAGTTATTAAGCACAAAAGATGAATTGCGTTTATTTTGATACACCCTGTAGTGTAAACACAATACTAAGAAACGTAGTGAATTTATAACGAAATTAATTTCCGTAGTTAATACGCTACGGCAAACCACTCCGTTATAGTGTAAACACAATATAATTCCGTAGTTAGTACGCTACGGCAAACCACTCCGTTATAGTGTAAACACAATATAGTCTCAATCAGACTAGAAACGTAGTAAATTTTTAACGGAGTGTTAGTCGTAGCGTCAGCGTCGTCTTACTAAGGCCCCTTTTGCATGAGACCGGCAGTGAAAATCGAAATTTTCAGTATGTTCACAGCATGTATAGGACGGGCCACGAAGGTAAACAAACTCGTTGAACCAAATGATTGAAGAAAACTTGTCGTCAATTATCCATCGTATATAAAAAATAATACATGCAGTTTAAGGATTGAGGTTAAACTGTATATTATTAAAATAACACAATTAAAGATTGAGAAAAGTTCTAGGAATTGAAAGTAGCACTTGTCCCAGCTTGAAATGTGAGCGTTGACAAAGCTGCGTTGTGCTTCTGTAAGACGTGATAATCTGTATCATATTGTATTTTGCCGTTGTAAACAGAGCGACGTCGATCTCGACAACTTCCGAGGGATTTTAATTGTTCATTTCTGCTCGTTTTTTTTTTGTATTAATATGATATTATTAATAGCCGTCCGTTGCAGTAGTTCTTTATAATTATAAAATTGTAAAATTTAAGGCAGATTCTTGTCATGTCCCCGCACTAGATTAAAGCTCACTCACACTCAATGAGTGGAGAAATTTGTGATGATTTTTGCCGTAACGCGGTATCATTAGCGAATTTAAGCAACGCTTATACGCCCGTATTCTAAAAGCACACTCACACTCAATGAGTGGAGGTTCAATCTGAGCTTCTCTCGAGTGTCAAAACTGCTTTTGAATAGCTGGAGGGTTAGTGTCGTACCTTACTATGTGACTACTCACCCTCCAGCTATTCAAAAACAGCATGGATACTCAAGAGAAGCTCAGATTGAACCTCCACTCATTGAGT